ACAACATTGTCCCACCCATGGGGACTTCCAAGTTATGCTGGTCCATGGCAGAAGGTCAGTCAGGTCAGGAGCAAGCCGCTGATCAACACCAGACATCTGAATCTGGCATGAGGATTACTTTGTGTCACAACATTTCTGTCATTGCCATTTTGATTCAGTGCAAGTCGGACTAGTTTTTCCAATTCCTCGTCCATTAGCCCAGAGTTCATACACACATTGGCAGGATGCTGAGAAAGATTGACCTTGGTGTTGATTAAATACAGGGACAATGGGGATCTTGCTGGAATGAATATTTCAGTCATTGACCAAACTAGGATATTTTGAGGGCATATTTCATGACAACAAACTTGAAAGTACCAGACAAAAACCATTCCGATTGTGTTGTTTTCTTAACATTTTTCTCTATCTTCTTGTGGAAGAATAATCGTGTTGGGGTTAAGAATGCATATGTGAAAAGCAGAATGGTAAAAGAAAGACTTTGTCTTGATTGAAAATCTGCAAAGCAATGATCATTCATGTTCTCTGGTGCTGATGTATGTGTGGGATTCATCCTGTTTAGTTCAGTGCCAATTAACGAAGAAGAAAAATAAAATACACATTGAAAAACCTAATACACCTTGAGGCTTTTGCAGGAAACATTTCAACTCAAGATTTATTTTCAGTTCTGTTGATTTGAAACACATATGGATCATATATTTTTGCAGAGATTTGTCATGGATGTGGAAAGGGTTTTGTCACTTTTATTTCATACAGGAATGTCCATTTTGTGATACACTTCTTCCTGCTGATGATCTAGAGTAATGCGCATTAACATTGTTTTGTGTTGTTCAATTAGAAACATCAATAGTGTGCAGATATCAAGTTGGGAGCAATGTTTTTGCAATCTCGTTTATATCCAATCCTAACGCTCACAACTGTTACTATGAGATCTAAGGACATCTTGTTACAGGTGATGTCACAATGACCTTTCTTCTGGCCAAACAAAGCATCCCTGATGAGATCACAAAAGTCTAACACTGAGTTGTTTTTTGTTGTCGTGCAACTTTGAAAAGGTTAATAACACAGAGCTTCCCTTTAGTTCACTTTCAAAATTTAGAATAAAACTTAGATAAAAATATTTTTCAAAGCATAGTGTGAAATTGAAGTGACCATTTTGAAGTTAATGCCTTAAACCTTGAGAAAGTTGATCCTGATTGGCTAAAGTCAAGCTCCTTTTCACTAAATGAGGTCATTGGTTGGCCAAAGTTTGTGAAAGGCCAAAATAAGAGAGAATGTTTCATCTGGTTATTGCTAGAAATATTTGTCCTGTTATAACATTAAAAGAAAATCATGTTTTATGTGTGTTTGATAGTAACAGTAATGATGTTTGTCTGTAGTAATGACAAAGACTGGAATAGCTGGAGACTTGTTTATTGTGTACCCCCAGACTCACCAACACCTGGGTTACACCAGCCTGTATATGATAGTGTCTGGACCTGACGATATAGTGATTGACATCGATAACAATTAGGGTATGATGGCAAGCCACCAACCATATGCGCATTGTAGGACTTATTTGGTTTTCTGATGGGATTCCAGGGTGGAATTGGTCAAATCAACCATATCCACTTTGAAGGACTAATTTTGGAATCTGAATGGATTCCAGGGTGGAATTTGTCCAGTGAACCAAATCCAACTTGTATTACTACTTGAAGGTATTGCATTCCACTGGGTGAATCCACCTTTGAAGGGTTTTGGAATCGGTCCAAATCCAACTTGTATTACTATGGCATTGCAGGGTGGAATCGGTCTATGGCAATGTATGCTGATCGTAAGAGGTAACCAAATAGATTGGACGATCTGACTCGACATAACTAAAGTACTATGAGACTTACTTATATTGAAAGTAAAAATGGCACAATCATGTCTTCCCATGTGGTTCATGATAATCACAGATGTTCTTAGATGTTTAACATTTTATCGTTTGTTTTATTGGTAACATGTATCTTATCATATTGGGGGATATCTGTGTGTGGGGTCGGTCACATCAGTAGAAATCAATTAGCTGTTATTACACTAGACATGGGTGTAGAGCGAACTTCTTAAATAGAGATCCCTTTCTTCACATAAAGCTAGTGTTATGGAGCACTATATTTCATAGGGAGAAGGATCCCAGATTTCATACTGAGATATTGTTCCAGACACCTCTTCAAGATCAGGGCTCGAAAAATTTAAAAATCTGCACTCGCCATGTAGGGCGAGTAATATGAACTTTCCACTCGTCCTTCTAGAATTGTATTTTCCCTATAGATCATGCATCACAATGAATATAAATTTAATTTTTTTAATTTCAAAATGTTTGCTTGGAATAAAACTACAATAAACATTACTTACTTTGTCTTCTGTACAAAATCCTTGACAAAATTGAATTGGTTCACCATTTAAGATAGCTGAACTTCACGGAAAAAGAAAAATGTTACTTTTGAGTCAGAAAGCATACTCGTCCACTAGGACGAGCAAATTATGTTTTTCACTTGCCCATAAAAAAATTTTACTCGTCAATACGAGCGGACAAGTGGAATTTTCGAGCCCTGAAGAGATGAACCTAAAGTCTTCAGTGAAAGGAAATGACAAAACTAAACTCAGGGCCTTGTCCAGTGAGAAGTGTTCCTTGCTTTTTGTAATACCCCCCGAGGATGATAATACCCGATATATCATAATCCTGTAACTATAGGAATGGAATATTTTTATAACCACACCTTCTTTGCCCTCCGCTCTCTCAGAATGTTGGACTCAGATCAGCCCTTACTGCCAGTAGGTCATGGCTGAACAGATTGTGCAAAACAAACTATTTTTTATAAATATTAAATTCTAAGGATGTGTTTGTTACGCAAAACCCACTGATTATAACATCAGACATTGATAAGCCTTGACAAACACCAGACCATGCATCATGAGCCTCTTAATGACAACCCACACAGACTCCCATCTGCCAAAATGTCAAACAGTTTTTGTGTATTAATGCATATTGCTGTCTTGTGCATTGAGGAAGTACCTTTAACAAGACGCATTTCTGCTATTTCTTCATAAACATTTCCTGCAAGTAAAAACTGACACAGCATGATCATTTAAGTGTTTTCTTGTTAAGAGACAGAATGTTTTTTTGGTCATTTCTTCAAGTAACAAACTTTATCATATATTAATAGCAGCACCACAATTTGATATTTATTCTGAAAATGTGTATCACAATGGTTAAGCCTGTGAAGCAAACAATACATATTCTTCTATTAAACATATAATATATATATAAATATATTTTTTCACAATACTCTTTGCCACACTTTGTAAAGAAAAAATTCCCAGTCTCCCTCATATCCCAGAATGTCATCTTGCTGGTGCCTCACTCAGTCTTAGTGTGAATTTTTGATGGCTGTATCTTTAAGAGATATGTGTTCCTGATCTACAAGGGTAAATCTTGATTATTCCTGACGCAAGGAGGGATGGGGTTAAAAGAATGGGTACTGTCAGTCCTTTTGCCCATCCATCCATCCATCCATTCTTCCATCCATCCATTCATCCATCCATTCTTCCATCATCCATCCTTTTGTCCATTCATCCATCCATCCATCCATCCATTCATCCATCCATTCTTCCATCCATTTGTCCATTCATCATCCATCCATTCTTCCATTCATCCATCCATCTATCCATTCATCCATCCATTCATTTGTCCATCATCCATTTGTCCATTCTTCCATCCATTTGTCCATTCATCATCCATCATCCATCCATTCTTCCATTCATCCATCCATCCATCCATTCCATCCATCCATCCATTCATTTGTCCATCATCCATTTGTCCATTCTTCCATCCATCAATCCATCCATCCATTCTTCCATTCATCAATTCATCCATCCATCCATCCATTCATTTGTCATCATCCATTTGTCCATTCTTCCATCCATCCATCCATTCTTCCATCCATTCTTCCATCAATCCATCCATCCATTCTTCCATCCATCCATCCATTCATCCATCCATTCATTTGTCCATCATCCATTTGTCCATCCATCCATCCATTCTTCCTTCCATTCATCCATCCATTCTTCCATCCATCCATCCATTCATTTGTCCATCCATTTGTCCATCATCCATCCATTCTTCCATTCATCCATCCATCAATCCATTCTTCCATCCATTCATTCTTCCATTCATTGTCTGTTCATCCATCCCTTATGTTCCATTTCAGAGCACAACTTACAACCATTTAAATTGTATTCTGTACATGATGAAAGAGTGTTTTGCTATTCCTCACAAAGACATTTTTTTCTCACGCTGTTGATCACTGGATTGTTTGGTCCAGACTTGATTATTTACAGACTGCCGCCATGTAGCTGGAATTTTGCTGAGAGTGGCGTAAAACTAAGCTCGCTCACTCACTGTTTTACTTAGTGATCAATGTCTGATTCAGGGACAAGATTTCTCAGAAATTACTGAATTTACATTAATGAGAATTAGAAAATTGCTGACATGAGCATTATTTTCAGGCATTTTACTCCATGCTTTTAAACATTAAGTTCATATTATTCACCATGAGATGAACAAACAAATTCTAATGTTCTCTGCTGTAAGGGATAGTGTTGTAAGTGAAATCAGTGGTAAATAAGTGACTATAAGTTCTGAATTAGATTTGTCATTGCCATGAAGGTATGAATACACAGTGCCATTTTGAAAGTGGTCAAATGTAACACATGTTACACATGCCAAACTCACTCACTCATTACAGTAGAGATTCCAGAACATTTGTTAGGTGTTTGAGTCCCATACCGGATTTGAACCCTCAGAGTCAGGTACCTGATCGCCAGCACATGAAGTCAGCGATCTACCCCTCTGACAAGTGTACACAGTGGCACAGGTCCAACAACTGAAAGCTATTAATACACAATGCCATTTAGAAACTGGTTTTCATGTACAGGTGATGCCATGTACAAATTTAAAGAGTCAACATTTATATTTTCAGGGCAAGGACCTGAGTGAGCTGAAGCGTCACACATATGGTAACACAGTGGACAGATTTGCCTTGAAGAAGCTTGTGCAGCAGGTCTTCAAGAAATGCCGATGTCTTGACATTCATCAGTCTCGGCAGAACTCTCAGGTAAGTGTTTACTTAATGATGTATTCATCCTTGTTTTCAGAACACCCAGGTTATAGTTGTCTTGATGATTCATACGCCAGTCTTGTCAAACAGTATCATGTACAGGCTTGAAGGCAACATGGTTTTCAACAATGAAGCTTTTGGTCATATTGATGGAGGTGAGGAAATCATGTGATCACTTTACTGATTATATGTAAATATTGGCAACAAAACCCTTTCTGTAGGTTGGAGGACATTACTTGTGAGTTTGTTGTTGTTAAGAGAGTTCATCAGAGATTCCTAATCTGGCATTGTGAGGTTGCTCTCGACAAGTTCACATCACCAAAAGATACCTTTTGGATGTGCCACCAGCTATGACTGACTGACTACTGAAGTTGGTGTTTGCAAAATAGATTACGTAGTCATGCATGCCTGAGTCTTAATGACTGCTGGAATCTTCCAACCCATCGCTAATTGAGCCAACCTTTATTCACCTTTTTCAAACTGAGAGATGGTGTGTGCTTGGAAGTGACAGTCACAGCATGCTTTGATAGACTGCTTCCTTCATCCATCAGTAGCTGGTACACTTGAGACATCAGCAACTTTATAGTCAAAACAGAATGGGTCTGGACCTTCTCAGCTGGTGTTCACAATAAGCTGAGCATGACTATTTCCTGTAGAATGTGCTGGAGTACTTCTGTAGCTTACAGTACAGCTAGTCATGACTTGTATTGTACGACAATCCTTTGGGTGATTATCAGTGCCATCTTGGCCATACCTTTAGACTGGGAGCTGTGGGGATGATGCAGGGTGCTAAATACCACACAACAAATTTGATGAACTGACTTGAGAGAATTGCAGACTATTGTTTGTGGTTCCTGTATTCCACCTCTTGAAAACACACCATTGATGTTTATGATGAAGTGGGGTGAGGGGTTACCATTCTTGAAAAGTATAATTGCAGTATGGAGTTTTTGTCACTTTTATTTAATGCCATGTTTAAGAATTGTTGAAAGAAAAAGATGTGTGGTTTCCAAGCAAATAAATGTCAACATTTAACAAGAGCCACACTTTGCAGGCAAAAAGACAGACATATTTATGTTTTGTGAACATAATTCTGTTAGTTTCTCTCATGCTGTGTCTCACATCACTTCCACACTGTTGTGACAATTAGACATTTATCTGCATCCTATCTGTTTCCGCAATCTGATTCCACAAAGTAATGACCTTGAAAAAGCTTCCTGGTAAAAATTTTGAAATCTGGATTACATAGCTTAGAAGACAATTTAAAGAAAAAATTAACAAAATTATTTCTTTTGAAATAGATCAAGTACATCATCAATAATAAAAAGAATTTAACAGAATTAGGAAAAAGGAATAGAGATGTAATTATGAGAGACAAATAGGGTTTTTAAATGTACCAATGCAATTTTTTATGTGAAATTTGACAAAAATGTATTCTTTTGATTTCACTCGTGGATTCACACAGAAAAAGAAGTGCAACTGTCACAACTATAAGGTAGAGCTCAAAGTAGGTGTATCCGTGGTTGGCTTGAGAAATGGCAGAGTCTCCTAACCTGATGATCCATTTAAGCTGGTGTTTTATCTGGCAGTGTAAGAAATTACTTTGAAGAAGCTTATTTGGGGTAATTTGTCTGGAGGATATTTTTGCCCACATGAAGAAGGTGACATAACATCATTTTGTCTTCTGGGTTATCTCAACCAGTTTTTGCAGGGATTTCTGAGATTCCTTTCGGGGACTGTCTCAGAAGTTCAGTTGACCCTGAGATTGAAATATGCAATCTAGATTTGTCATAGAGTCTTCTACTTTCCAGAATGTAGAGAATTGTGAGATTATGTTTGATTATTTAGTGAAAATACCAAAATAACAGTTAGCTGTGTTTTGAGCCTTTTGTTGGATGTGGAAAGGGTTTTGTTGCCTCAATTTGATTATCTTGGTTTTCTCTGAATGTCAGATGTTCACATTTGACCTCTCTATGAGAGACAAAATAGAAATAATCTTTTACCAAAAGTACATAATTTGCAAAACTAGGTTCATTATTGATAAGCTGAAATAATACAATATGTTGGCTGTCAAGTTTTGGGATGATCCTTTGCTGTTGAACAACTGCTATTCTCTGCACCACATCAAAGCAGCTTTTAATGAATCAGTTTAAATTCATTATACATCAGTGTTTTCTTTAATCAGTTTTTTTTCTGAAATGGAATGATTGTGACACAAAACTCCATCTACTTACAGTCGTGAGATGTCGGTATGTGACTGATATCTGTGATCTCTTGCTTATACTTACCAACTATATAAAATTGTTTGACCATGATCATCTTTGACTAATGGCATTAAATATGACACATGATCTTGATGCCTGCATAGTTCTTTATCTATGCCCATATAAGGTGACTCCGTGAGGCAAGCACCTCAGGGTATCCACACATCAAAGGTTCATCACTTATGGTTTTCATCTGAAAGGTTGACAACAACATGAATCGGTCAGTATGGTCCTGCCAGACAACAACTTAAATTACAGTAAATTACATTCATTCATTGGAACTACATTATAACAGTGCTACTGTTTGTCTACCTCTAAAAGGCCGCCGGACGGTGGGGTAGCCTAGTGGTTAAAGTGTTGGCTCGTCACGCCGAAGACCCGGGTTCGAATCCCCACATGGGTACAATGTGTGAAGCCCATTTCAGGTGTCCCCCGCCGTGATGTTGCTGGAATATTGCTAAAGCAGTGTAAAACCAAAACTCAGTCAGTCAGTCAGTCTAAAAGGCCGGGTTCGAATCCCCACATGGGTACAATGTGTGAAGCCCATTTCTGGTGTCCCCCACCATGATGTTGCTGGAATATTGCTAAAAGCGGAGTAAAAGCAAACTCAGTCAGTCAGTCACTCTAAAAGGCCTCTCTATTAATAATGTTCATTTGATGCTAATTATGGCCTTATGGAGTTCTGAACTTGTTGTTCTGAAAGCCTCACTTGGACAATCCAACACCCAGGACAAGAAGTCTGCATGGATGCAAAACACTAACTCAGTGGTAACATCTTGCTGAAGGTTTTACGATGATTTTAAAATCATTTCACTGATATACACAGTTACATTGGTGTAAAAGCATCCATGAGTTAGGGAGTGAGTGTATGTTTCAGTTCGTAGTTGCTACGTAATAAATCCACTTGACCTTGACGATGGGCTGACATTATCTTCTTTAGCCATGGGAACTGAAGTAATTCAGAATACAGCCACTGAAATCACAATATACACGACTACTTGTTATCAGAGTGTCCATGTTTCTGGGCAGGGAAGAAAGGCATTAACTTAAATTGTTCCTTTACTTATTTGCCCCAGAGTAAGTCACACGTCTATCTAAATGGGCAAGAAACAATAGCATTCTTTCAATAGTATGTGGTAAAAACTGCATTGGTACTTGTGTCATTTTCACCTGAACTTATTTCCTTTCCACTGTGACCTAGTTATCAGTGGGAACTCTTCTGGATTGATGTACTGAGATCTGTGGCACCTTACAGGATGGATCACAAAGCATGGCCTATTGTTGATCACCTCCCCCTTTGAATTATTCAATGTATTTGGCTACTCTTTCAATGTGAGCTATATTAAATGTAGGTTTCAGCTATACAGCATTGTTCACCTATCTAAGTGCACATGAACCCATCTCTGACATCAGAGTTACAGAAAGTAAAGGACTTGCTGGTTGAGTAATTGAGCTTCCGAGAGCCAGGAGGCTGTATTGTGGATGACATTGATGACAATCAGATGTAAGACAGAAGTGGTGTTAGTGGACTGACCTGACCTACTTTGTAAAGCCATGCTGATGGTGTGAGTTCCAGATTGGCCCCAATGTAGGCCTTGGACTGTTGTCTGTCTGTGCTCACATGGGTTCCACTCACTGTCTGTGCTCACATGGGTTGTTAATGGGAAACTCTTTTCAGATCAACATATAACCAGCAACACCCTGTCGACGCCCAACTCAATCCTGTTGGTTTCAGTCAATGCGTATATATCATGCTTGTTGGTTTCAGTCAATGCGTATATATCATGCCTGTTGGTTTCAGTCAATGCGTATATATCATGCTTGTTGGTTTCAGTCAATGTGTATATATCATGCTTGTTGGTTTCAGTCAATGCGTATATATCATGCTTGTTGGTTTCAGTCAATGCGTATATATCATGCCTGTTGGTTTCAGTCAATGCATATATATCATGCCTGTTGGTTTCAGTCAATGCATATATACAGTCATACCTCGCAATAACGCTCTTCGCGATACCGCGGATTCGGTTAAACCGCGGGGTAATCCGTGGCTCCCATAAAAAAAAGTTGCCCAGTGATCACACATATTCACGTCATCGAAAATAGCACATCAACAAATCCACTGTTGAGCTCTGGTTAATCACGTAGTAAACTAGTGAAATTCAGTGCGGATTGCAATTAACAGTGTTTATCGTATATATCCATGTTTTTTCAGATGCTTAAAACATGCAGGGTCTTTTTCAATAATAATTGATGAACAGCGAAACATCATAATAACTGTATCATAAAGACATGATTATCAGCCGAGTACTTACAACGTTTGCTATGATGCAACAAACCGCGTAATTGTGCGGGTATACACCGCCATCCGAGAATGTATGATGTCAGAAAACACATTTTATTTGATTAAATTCAATCCCATTTTCATTCATTAAAACTGTTTACAATAACAACGAGAGAAAAAAATGGCATTACCTCATTCCATACAACACCCGCTACCACATTAAGTGAGGGTCCGTTTTCAGCTACCACCGCGAGAGCACCAATTTCACATTTTTCTCAGCAATCAAGAACAGATTACAGCCTTGTCATCCATTGACCCCAAGACCCGCCAAGTATTGACTCATTGAAGTCATATTTGACAATTAATTGCCAACATATTGTTTTTACAATCAAAGTGGCACGTACCGCGGGAAGTCAGTGGTGACTTGTCAAACTGTCTCCTACGTAAAAATGTATCCAGCCAGGTAACCCAAAGTGCTTAGCAATGCTTATTATTATGTTAAATATGTTCGTAGAAAACATGCATTATACTTATACGATAGCAATATATAGATCTCTGTTAGAATAACTGCTTGACATATCAATTATTCTGATAATGGAATATAAATTCTTGGATGTTATATTTTCG